GCATTAACGCCATGTAGGAATGGTATAGCGTCCGAGTCACGTTCCCCGGCAGCTTATCAAGGTCTCTTTAATATAGTTTCCCTCAGAGAACCACCAAGACCAGTCGTGCCCTCCTTTCTTGAAAAAATCCATGCATTCAAACATCTTATCAGCATTATCCCTAGGATCGGTCTCGTAAAGCCACTGCAGAGCCAATATCATATCCGCCGCTCGGGATCGGCCCCATTGCTCGTTGAAATTATCGCCATGATGCCAAACCAGGCCCTGGAGATTGTTAGACAGCATCGAATGCATCAAGTTAACATATTTGTGCATCGCATTCAAGATCCTTTCTACCTCGGCATCGCCAGGCTGGGCTTCCACCATCTGCGCCAATCCCAAGAACATAGGAGTCCTAGCCCAAAAGTTCCTTTCGGATACTACAGTTTCAGGCCCCAGCCAGCCATCCTCCTGCTGATGGGTAAGTACGTAATTCGCGACTTTCCGGACCTGCTCAAGCAGCCTCTTATCCTGGGTTAGATAAGCGAGCGGAACCAGTCCGTTGAACCAGTAGGGCATAGCCTCGTTGAGATCGCTGTAGTCTTGGGTTCCACCCAACCACCGACTGTCACGGACAACGCGGTAGAAGTCAAGCTCGTGGCCCGCAAGGCCGTTCGCCATCAGAGTCAACTGATCCCTTAGCCAACCTTGCGGCTTGACGGCTCCCAGCGGGAGCGCTTTGAAAACGAAGGGGAGTAGACCTGTTAAAAAATTATTAATAGGAGATTGATTATTCTGAGGAGCGAAGAATAATTACTTTTATGGTTGTCATCCATGATGGTTATTTGCTGTTGCCCGTGAAGCCTGGCGTTGTCTTCGCTCGGAGTGTGAGCTTCCCCCCCAGTTATTAGGCGAGAAAACACAAGTAGCAAGACATGAAAAACATATAGGTATCTGCCGCACGAAAATGCCATTGAATCTGAAAGCCAAATTTCTGGCCGCTCTGTGTCCCTTCTCTTCCTTGTGTACGTTGCTGGAGTCTTACTTTTGTCCTGCTCGATTGAAGGGCGAGCTTATCTGGATAAGAGTACTCCGTAGTATCTGTGCTGATTTTATGCCAGGGCCGCCCAGCCTGCGGTTTAATTTTGCACGGGAGCTAAAGGGAGCAGAGGTAAGAACGATAGAGATCTAATAGGTTAAATATACAAATACACTCAGAGAGCATGTATACCGAGCCCCATCGGGTGATTGTCCCGTGTGATTCGGCGCTTGTTGTCTGGGCCAGGGATATGCGGGGAACATCCTGTGATGAAACTGGGGGCCGTGATTCATCCCACTGGCGCCGTCTAGGTTAGGGTTAGATTAGGGTTTGCTAAAGGGGTCGAGATACCTCGTACCTATACATCAACGGGAAGCGTGGAGGGCGTACTGTGCAAAACCATCAAGTTGGTATACCCGCGATCAGCAGAGGACATCATCGGCGGTCTAGATGCAGGCCATTATTTCTAATCTGCTGTTGAAATAATGATGTTAAAAATGTATAACAACGGTGGTCTGTGTCTGAGGCACAACCGAGCCTTGTCGCCAGTATTCCGGTACAATTTTCACTCATTCTTTTCTAACTGATTGGATTATTAGCATTATGTGACCAAATTTGAGTTAACGGCGCTGCTAAGATTATTTTCCTCAGTTCCAGACCCGTTGTTGTTGTCGCTATCTATGAACAAACGATGTTTCCAGTGTGGTATACATATAGAGGGAAGCCGTCCCCCGAACATGGACAGCATTGAAAGCCATGTTCATTGTCCCTCCCTTTCTTCAGTATGGCCGTCAAACTACCTAGTCGACCTAGGACAGCAGGAGAAATATCTTCCACGGATCATTCCCATTTGGTAGAGACAGAGAAAGATGAGGAAGAGGAGGAAGGGGCAGAGGTGGGCAGTACCAGTGACTACCACTCTGAATTGAAGGAAGAAGACTTAATTCCTCTCACACCAAGTGTCACTGATTATCTGTAAGGACCCTGTTTCACATCAAAAATGCTTATCCCAGCTAACAATCTCAGAAACCTGGTAAGAGAATCCCAAACAGACTTGACTCACACAAGCTAAATAAGCAGTACAGCCGAACATATCATGCATTTTGTAAGAGAATGTACCTTTTGGTGAGTGCTCCCTTTGTACGGTGGAGGAACATATTTACTAACCGGTTGATAGCCGAACGATGAGCCTGAGAAGGATTGGATGGACATGATAAATGATTACACTCAATACCCATTGCATAAAATCTGACCAGGGCACAGATGCATCAGATGTACAAGAATGTCTTGAGTGAATTGTTTCTCACTCTCATAAGTGAAAGTTCTGAGCATATTCTTGATATGAGAATGGGAACAGATATCTGAGTAATAGAATGTGCTGAGTGTGTAAATCAGAAGCTGATGTCCATGGATATCACTTTGAGCCTGGCTAATCACCACAGTAGCAAATATCCCAGTGCGCTGGTTTGAGGAAATGATTTGAGCCCAATCCAACCTTGTAAGAAGTGTACCCACTACAAAATATACCCTGGCTTATGATTGATTCCAGTGTCCCACCAAATTGCGTTTTTGAGATTGACGACTTTGAGGAATGGGGATTGCCATATGAATTCGATTTCATCCATGGATGGGAGTTGGATGGTTCAATCTCCAACTGTGAAAAACTGTGCAGAGAAGCTTTTAAGCATTTAAAATCAGATGGATACTTTGAACTCAAATCACTTGAACACAGCTTCCTCTCAGATGATGAGATGCATAAAAAAGCCATACACACACTTGAATGGCAACAGTATATCATAAAGAGCTGAGATAAACTGAGAAAGCCTTTCTGCGGAGCAACTACCTGCACACTGAGGATGAAAAACACTGGCTTTGTCAATATCAAAATTCAAAAATTCAAGGTATGTCAAGCTTCATACATCTGATGAAGACCCAGCACTAAAATGAAGTAGATTCCAATAGGGCCATGGGAAGAAGGCAATAAACTGAAGCAATTGGGCAATTTTGCTCTTCTGGATATTCTGAGTGGACTGGAAGCATTTTCACTCCTGGTTTTTACTCAGGGTCTTCAGTGATCAACGGATGAGTTGCAAGTATGTCTGGCTCAAGTGAGACATGATCTGAAAAGAGAGAAACTTCACATATACCGCGAATTATATGTGATATACGGGCAAAAGCCGAAGGTGAAGGAGTAGAGAATTATCTTTTAGCTTGGTTCATCAACTGTTATATCGGCCAATATGGCTTTCAACCCAAGGCACCAACAGGCAGTCTTAGATATAGGACCAACAACATAGCATATATTGCCAGGTTCCTTAGTAAATAATAATGTTTTCAAGTTATATCAATAGATCCCAACTCATCCAAAGTGATTCCAAATCATGCTTATGGATAAGAATGTACAGTTATTTAAGCATTACAAGCTTCTGGGCGAAATGACGAAGCATGGTGGCTTTGCAGAGATTCATTGTTGTGCCCATGTGAGTGAACACTGCCATAACCTCGGATATTGACTGGTGTTCAACTGCGGCTGAGAGGCAGTTGTTGTCAGCAACTGAGTGTCAAACATATGAGTTTCAGTGTCAAGACCGCCGGACTGTGTTGCCCAGTAGTCAGTGCATGGCATGTAGGTTTCAGCTGTCGAAGTCGTATACACCAACTGTAATGACGGTGGGAAACATCGATCAACCGCATTTTGAGCCAAATCAAAACGAAATGGTTGACCCGTCCACGGTCGAATTGCCAGCGGATTACCAGCGAAATTTACTTGAAGATACAGAACGCGTCGTGCAGAAGCTAGGTCAGATATTGAGCTTGTTGAGAACATGGCATTGATTGTGACATCAACAGTTCTGTGTCTGTTTTCTACTTGATTTGAGGTTCCCAGGTGGTTAACAGACGTTTGATGTGCAGGATCGTTGGTCAAAGTGTGATCTAAAACATATTACAGACTGTAGTGTCCGCAGAGAAGTGAAAAGACCAGGTTTTTAAGTCAGACCTTTAGGGCGGATAGTACCATCATCTTCCCAGCTAAGGTAATTTCTCAGCTGAATCCATGGCGATGACCACATACTTACGCACTATGCCGGACACAGTCTCTTTCTCTCATTTCCAGGCACATTGTTCGGAATCTATTACCTTGATCCGATGGAGGTAGGAGTTCAGCCTGTCTGTACCTAACTGGCTCAAAATCAAGGCTTCTTTTCCCGTCAAGTTGCCGTAGATACGCCTTATGCTCGGGTCCACGTCCCCTCATCACTAAGAAGCTTCCTGCGTGCAATCCTTGGAACTGTAGATTTCACCTTGAATGGTGCATCTGGCAATGTCTCTGGCATGTTCTTCCCATTGAGTGCCTTTGCCTTCTGGTTGCGATTGTTGCAAAGAGGACGGCTGCTTTGTCTAGTATTGAGAACTATCTGGGAGAGTATGTAGGAGAATACAGTCACAAGAAGATAGTATTACTGTGTGTTTTATTTAACCAACAGAGAGGCTCCAGCCACTCTGAATTGCATAACTAAAAAGAGGTCGGCTAGGAAAGCAGTGTCTAGACAGGTAGTGACAGTAGTGTTTCAGGGAGTTTGTCTTAGGAGCAGGGAGGGTTTGTAAAAGAGTGGCAGGGAAGGATTGGTGAGGAGAATGAGACCTCTGAAAGACGAAATGTCTGCCTGTCCCTCTTCATGAATTGTGAGCTCTCCAAGACGCTTAATAAATCTCACAACCAGCAAACCAGGGGTGCTCCAAGGCTTCGCGCGCTGTTGCACGCTTTTGAGGATCCAAGTTCGTCATTCTCCGGATGAGATCCTTGAACTCGTCGTCGGTGACATTCGGCCACTCTGAGAATGGCTTGTAGGAATGATAATCTGCCACCCGATCATCCCAAAGAAATCCCAGAACCTGGCAGTTGACTTCCTCATCACCAACGTGTGTCATGAGTCCATTCAATCCTTCTCGATCTCCAAAAAAAGAAACTTGACGTTGCAGGCGAATGACGTGAGGGAATGCACCCTGCGATTCGTGTTTCTGTAAATCCTCATCGGCTCCGAAGATGACTTGTCCGAGCATAGCATAGATGGACTGAGCAGGTTAGCTAGATAGAGCCTTCTCTCAAGGGGGCGGTAACCTATCACGGCTGCGAAGGAAAAGATGTCAGAAGGCTTGTTAAGCTCGCCCTTGAAGTGGCTCTCTGGACTGCGCCAGCTATCATTGCCAGCTAACATCCCTTTAATGCACCTCCCTTTAGGGAGATAAGCTGCATTTTCGAGATCGATGATCTGAACCTGCTCAACAATTGTCTCTGGACCAGTACCGCGGTAATTGACCATGATATTATCAGGTTTGATATCTGAAAGCAATTAGTTCTAGGTTATGAAACTGAAGAGTGCTTACTTCACCGAAATGGACAATATCATGGCTGTGCAGCTCAGCAATCCCTCGCAAGCTGGCTTTTAGAATCTGCTTCCTAGCTTGCATGGATATTTGCTTTCTAACAAGGCTCAGAAAATCATCATTCATGTACCTGTAAACAAATATTCGCTGATCTGGAATTGTGTCATGTGGTAGCCGTAGAAATGGACTTTCAGGAAGCCGCGGGCGTATGTCCTCATTAAAGCTTGAGAAAATGGCCTTGGGAATGTCCTTCAAGATGAATTTGCCTTGTCCAGATCTGGAGCATTGTCAGTTCAACAAGTTGCGCTACATGATGGGGCAGGTATGCTCGCACGTTGCCAACCAAACACGACCGAGATGTGGTCTCTCCTGAATCAGTTACTTGAAGAGATAGCGACGTCCAGCAGCACCGATCAATTCAATGGGTGGAGGTGCCATATTCGCCCCAAAATGTGTGAGAGGTTGAGATTTTTGACAAGAGATGTAGCGAAAATACTCAACCAATGCAACACGGAAGGAATGAATTAAAAACGAAAGATTAGACCCTGCGCGAGGGTATTGTAGCCTTCCCATGCGGCCTGGTTATATCACGTGATTCCGGATTTGTAGGAGGATAATGTGGGACGTCTAAGTGGTTGTATTAGCATGTCGGCAGCTGAGGCATATACTGTAAACATTCTCCAGAAATCCAGACATCCATTTCTACCGAAGGCAAAGTATCAATGCGACACAAGAAATGAGATGGGGTAACGCAAGGCCCGACATCCATCAGAGCCAGATGCAGTACATAGTTACTAATAGTTAGGATTTTTTTTTTCAAAAAAAAAAAAAAAAAGGAGATAAAGCCACTGTATAACTAGTGGTTATACGGGGGGGGTTTGGCTGGGGTGGCGTCCGGGATAACCTGGTTATTTGGGGGGGTCATGTTATAACGCCGCTAACGCGCCCCGTGGATAACTAGTTAATTTTAAAGTACTTAGTAAAGCTCTACCTAGTACTCCGTATATCTGAAATGCATGATTTATGGTTGGTTCCTGCAAGATCTAAGCCAACAGCAATCGAGCCACAATCCATGCTAGCTATGGAATAGTTTCTTTAGCCTGGTGGGGCCCATGGCGAAATCAACATGGGCTGCTATCTCTCTCGCTGACCGTCGGCTGCTCCGAATTTTGCCAGAATAAAATCAGATTGAGATCGAAAAGGACCTCCGCATTATCATCTTTATTCACTATGGATCACAATGGCAATCGGCAGATCCGGGCTGCCTGTGACCGCTGCCATTCGCAGAAACTTCGATGCGAAAGACGGCAAGATGAAGAGAGCTGCTTGAGATGCGTTCGGAATGCTACGGCCTGTGTTTACAGCGTAAGGAAACGGCGGACTGTTCTTCGGCCACCCCGACATCGTTCAAAAAGGCGAAGACTTAGAAACGAGGATGGTGAGAGTGGTAGCGGAGGCGTAAACGGTCAAATCGAAGAAGACCCCTTTGGCAGTACAGTAGCTAAAGACGTTGAAGACGGTAAGTACACTCTTACGCCGGAGGAGTAAATGAGTCTCCCTCATTGTCGTTACAGAGAAAACTAATATATCATATTGCTAGAGCCTGATAGCACATATTTAACATCTTTCGATCCCGCATTCGGCCAATGGCCTGAGTTGCACGAGTTACCTCAAGATATATCAGTTCCAGAGTGTGATGATTTTTCGCTCCCAATGTTTGGAAATGGCCTTGTTGAATCTATTCTACCTCCCCCAAACCAGACTCTGATGCCCACCCCTTGCTCCAGTGGAAAAACATTGACAGACTGGAGTCAAGACCTATCTGGCACGCTGGTTGATAAACCGAGCATGATCGTGCAGCAAGTGCGAAAGCTGGCAGATTTAAATGTAAAGCTGTGCGAACATGCAGCAAAATTGCCGCCCGTGTCCACTAGCTTTAACGAAATACAAATCTCTCTGGCCAACCGTGTTTTTGAGATTGACGAGACGTTCTGTCTCATCCAAACTTTGTTAGATGTCTCAGGAACCATTTATTCTCACAGGTCCATTCCATCAGAGAATCAATCTCTGGAAGGTATCTCGTCAATTTCTCCGTCGATTTTGTTTTCTCAAAACAACCAGAGAGATCATCCACCGACCGACACGAGTCCGGGAGCACACAGCAGCCCAGGTAGCAATGTTCCAGATCGACCCACCTTTCTACTTATACTGTCCTGCTACGATCGGGTGATTGACATCTGCCAGTGCATTTTTACACATATTGAATGTTGTGTCAAAACCTTCGCCACGCCTCTGACCCCTGAAGCCCAAGTGATACAGTTACCGGAACTTAGAATCGGATTTTACAAACCCCCCATATCATCGGCAGTTGCCATGAAAATGTTCCTCTTCCACACCATGGCACGCCAACTCCTCTCACAGTTGCGGACCATTTTTGTGATGCACAACACTGGAGCCGGGAGAGAGGGGTGGCAATGGGACACGAATGGGCGTGGAGATGGGAGAAACAACTATTACAACGGGAATGAGACGGGATCGTTCGTGAAGGACACTGGTCGAGACGCCGGTATTCCAGAAGGCCCATATACGAATGTAGAGACCACACCACTCGACCTTGTGGACAAGAATCGTCATGATATATTCGCTCGTGCTTGCGGGATGTCTGAGCAAGTTACCAATATAGGGAAAAAGCTGATGGACATGGCAGTAGTGCCATAGCCCTAACCAGGCATAATGCTTATTCCCAAGGGCTAGAATCGCTACCACGCATTCATTTTGCAATACAACGACAACTCACCCATGGTTCACCGATTTAAACCTCGTAGTTCACATCAGGGGATTGCGAACAGGGTTCATTCGCAGTTACAGGAGACAGCTACCTCGCTCTCGTGGAGGAAAATGATGCCCAAATGCAGAGATCCTCTGGCCAGGACCTACTACGTAGCATGGTAATTGCCAGATACCAGTAGACACAGATTCTTGACGCTCTTCCAGGATCATTAAAATCAGGCTAACCTCCAGCTGGGGTGTTGGTCAACCCATTCGAAATAATTCGTCGTCATTGTTCATTGCCATTACTACAAAATACATCTTCATAAGTTTTCCGGCTTTCCGTCGTCTGGGAGTCTTTCGCCTCTTCGACAAACTTCAATTTGCTGGCAAACTACAACAAGAAAAATCCTCCAGGCAGTCCCGTGTGGCCAAATTTAGCCACCCACCAACAAAGTTAACTTAAGCCGAAATCGACTTGAAGACGTTGTGCACAGCTAGGCTTCGTCATTCCAGGTTTCAAGGATATGACGGATAATGCAGAGCGCGATGGGAAAAGCCATTGGGAATCGAAAGATACTAGGATGTGAATATTGCGAGTGTTCCAAACTACATCATTGACTCCCTTCGGCTAACTTAAAACCGCAACGATGCAACGGTCATAATATATGCCACCACCTGTCTCTCCTCAAAACACGCCATTGCGGCGATCAAAGCGTTATCTGGATGTGAGAACAGGCACAATGTTCGTCATCGAATGGTTTCTCTCCTACAGAGGCTCACTTTTGAGAGCATCAAACCCGATTTTCTTCCAGTGCCAAGAACAATATAAAAGCAAGATGCCCACATCGGATCTGCGGGCCACACCGTTTAATATAAATTCCGTTTCCTCTTTCTAGTCGTGTTTTTGGATATTTATTATAACGGTTCTTACTTTTCTCGCTAATGAGCCAGCCAACAAAAAAAAAAAAAAAAATTCTGCTATCAATTCATAAAAAAAGTACATAAAGTTGTGCGCCTCTTTCTACATCTTAACCTTTAGCTCCCGCACATATTCACCAGAAAAAGCCGGAAACGAGACCGTGCTCCCTAACCGGTCATTGATTCACTACCCTGAGGGCATTCTTAGGAAGTTGAGAATGGGCTTCAACGAAGGCTTCAACGAAGGCCTCTCCTATGCAGAGCGACAGACGGTGGTGAATGGGGGAAAGAAATCCAAAACTGAAAATACTGTTGGAACGATCCATGCAACGGGTGACCAGTTGCCTGTTAGCAATAATGAATTATATACCATCAAAGAGTTACCCGGAAAAGGATTGGGCTGCTTTGCAATGACAATGATTCCCAAAGGCACACGGATAATACTCGAAGAGCCCCTATTCACCGTCCCCAGCATGGCGACAGATTTACAGTCTATGGAAATGGTCTTCCTCAAGCAGCTCAAAAGCCTGAGTAAAATGCAACAACATATGTTTTTCTCACTACACAATGCACACAAGGACAAATGCAGCCCTGTCATTGGAACGATCAAAACCAATGCAATGCCATTCGGTGCCAGGGGCTCAGAGGGTGCCATTTTCCCCAGTGCAGCACGGATTAATCACTCATGCAAACCGAATTCCCAAAACACATGGAATCGGAACCTAGAAAGACTTACGATCCATTCATTTAAAGATATCGAAGAAGGCGAGGAGCTCACCATCGCCTACGTCGACGGGACAGAATTATACGACGAGCGCCAGGCATATTTTGAGGAAGCTTTTGGCTTCAGATGTCAATGTGAGGTCTGCGCTGTTCCCCGTGAAGAGTCCAGGAAGCGAGATCGTCGACTGGAGGAAATGGCCCGGCTTGACCATGTGCTGGGCGATGGGAGACGCATGATGTCCAAACCCGAGGATTGCATTCAAGACGCATATACCCTATTCCGCATACTGATTGATGAAGGCATCGCCGGCTCCAGGATTGCGAGGGTGTACAATGATGCGCTGCAGATTTCGATTGCGCACAGTGACCAGGCGCGAGCAAAAGTGTTTGCGCAGCGAGCGTATGAGGGGAGGGTCCTATTGGAGGGCGAAGATAGCCCGGAGACAATGAGGTTAAAAGCAATAGCGGACAATCCTGCTGGCCACGGGCTGTTTGGGTCAACGAAAAAATGGGAGCAATCTGTCGAGGCGATACCGGGGGATCTGAATAAGCCCGATTTCGAAGATTGGCTGTGGAAGCAGAAGAGTTGGAAGGCATGAGTGATCGGGTTATTCATATATATATATATATATATATATAACATTTTGAGAATAGAAGTATATATAGTTACACCATCGTGCTAATAGATCATTAGTCAACGAGTAAAGCAATCTAGGCGTAGTTCTGCCAGAACAGCTTTCGGCGTGTTTGTTTCAGTCCATCTCTGAGCTATTATGGGAATTTTTATTCATCCTTAATCCCTTAACTAGTTACTTACCCTTAATAAATAATCCCAATGCTAACATCACTGCTGGCTGGTAGAGAAGGCCCAACCACTAGGAATAGTACGGAGTACCCTGGAAAGCTTTGAGAAAACAAATTTAAGTTTTTAACTCTGTATTTTAACTTTTTCCAGAAGCTTAATAAGATTAAGTTCGTGAGGAATGACGTACTAACTAGTCCCGTTTAAAGGTTAGTCATGACGATATCCAATGGCTTATCTCTATCAAGATACGATAAGAATCCACATTTAAGAACCGCTGGTGATCGCTTCTGGGCCAACTCCAACCTCGGAAAGGTACTGTCTCTATATCGACATCTCCTCAATTCCTACGCTTATGAATTACATGTTCCATCATCGTAGATGCGCTGCACCTGACAGCATACAAAGCCAATCTGGATGGAACCCAAATCCCCAAACCTTCCAACCTCTCGAAAAGGCACAACGGTGTGAACATGTCCCGCATGTCCAACTATCCACCCTCACAATCTACTTATTCGGCCTCTCCACCCTCCACCTAGGCATCTACAACTATCTACACCCGCGCAACGCTCTGACATCCCTCGACCTCCCGCTGTCTTCCTTGCACTCTATAAACGCCACCTCCACCGCCACCATCGCTATGGGCCTCTATTATACCCTTGCAGCGTATCAGTGGAACAGTGTCTTCTACATGCTGACTGCGCTTATGAGATTGCTGACAACCAGCGTCTTTTGGACCCATGCGCAGCCGGGGGTGAGTAGGAGGGGATGGAAGGCTGGCGTTGATGTGGGAGTACAGAGCTGGGCAGGGTAGGAGGCGAAAGATATTTTGTGGGTTTGGGTAGCTCGAATGAACCGGGAGTGATAGAGATACGTGGCCGGGCTTTAGCCCCAAGATCATCCTTAGAACCCTTTCTGTTGGTTCTGAGATTTGTTTTACATTCCTGGGGCAACAGTGCGGCGGTCCAAGTAAAACATTATGCACCTGGTCACTTCGTCATTGATTTCCTTGACATGTCATACATACACTGTTCTGTCTGCAATAGGATGGGTGTTTGCATGCAGATATCCACTGTTGTTTTGGGGGGACATTGAGAGGAACAATCAACTTCCAAGAAAGAAAGAAGAGTAACACAAAAAGCTCCCTGGGCATGGCATCAGCCAAAATTTGTCCATGTTAAAGTTTATAGATCTGGGTTTTAAGGGATTCAAGAAAATGTCAAATGCAAAACAAGGTAAGTTCCTGAACAAGTTGCCGGTCAATGATATTTTGCTCCTGGACAAAGTCCCGTGTCCTGTTACATACAAGATCCAAAACCCCCTTATCTAAAAAATAAAAAATGAAAATAACCAAAAATACCAAAAGA